ACAGAATGTTCATTGCTATGAAACTTTACAATCAACACTGACCTGTGCAATTACAGTCCGGTTTACAAGTAATCAAAAGCGAGTTGATCAAATTAAAATGGATGGCTGCAAATGTGCATCTGTGAATTGTTTTCTGTCAATGCATGCACTGAATCACCTAAAAACTTACTTGAGTTTCTGAGGAAAGGGTTGAACTGCCTTCATTTTGATGATAGTGTATTCTTGTGGGCCGACACCCTCTCCAGTCGCCCTGTCATGGTCCATACATGGCTGATCATCTTTTGGGCTATATATGGTATACCTGTGAGACAAATAAGAATTCAATGACATAGCCCCTGTTCTATTCAGGCAATGTAACTTCTGATGATGGAATATATGATTTGTTTTTGACAACAAAATCTGTTGAGGCATGTTTAAAGGCGGTAGTCGGCATGTAAACAAACAAAATAATGTAAGTCACCAAACGTCCCATATCGAACAGTATATGGCGTGCCGATCATCGTCCATGCCTAGAGGTCGAATAGAAGTCAACGGGGTCAAGTGATGTCACATGGACCACCTAGAGGTCAAACGGGGTCATATGCAATAGGCCAAGTAGACATGAGCAGTAGGAAGAAAATCGGTGCATGAAAATAACACCCACATGGCTGCCAGTGGGACATTTTGAATCAAATCACAAAACAAAACATCACTTGTGTTGTTGAATAAAATTGACCAAAGCATGTCTGACAAATGGTTAATGACATGTTCAAATTTTAGATTCTACGTTTTTTGGGGATGAAAGTTCTGCAGGGAAAATGACGCACACATTAAACACACACATTTGATAAGACAAAACAAACACACATACCTTTTCCCAAATTTAATTTTCTTTCTGTCTTTAAGGGTTAGAAACTGCCACCTTACGAAGGAGTCATAATAGGGATTGGCGTCAGTTGTTATGAAGGACCTCCTCCAATCCACCTGAAATATGAAATTTAATAAAATAAATTCCCACATATATGACACAGTTATCACTGCAGTTCTGTTCTGCGTCAAGTTTAATATGGGTCCCATGCCAAATATAACAACACATATAAACAGATTGTATGTTAGCTCAAAATATGTATGTGCAATGCAGGGCTACTATGTTAGTTTAAATCTTCTGAAGCTGATAAAGATTCACAGATTATTAACACTTTGCAAAATTTTAAAATTTTGAACTTTACTTCATTCTTTTGTACAAAAATTAGCTGTTCTACTAAAGACAATAGTCTTTGGTTTTACAAATTTTGTTATGTTCAAAAAAACTAGTTTTGTCTTAAGGAATAAGCATAATCTAATGACAATGTTCATTGGTTTATTATGTAAACCATGGAAATGTTGTTCCAGAGTACCTTGAAATAACATTTTTGCGTGGTGCAGTGATGAATATTTTTTTTGACATTTTTCAAATCCCCGATTTTTTGAATAATTCAGGTCAACAAGAAGTAGCCCATTATTAACATTATATAATTTTTTCAGCCTATGTCACCAGACTATATTTTGAGATATGGCATAGTATTTCTGCCATAGAAACTCATGGTAAAAACATTATAATACTGACAAAATGGTCACTATTCACTTAAATACAACCATCACTTTCTCGAAAATTAGGCTAGTGACCCCCAACTTTTTTAAAGGCAATATCCTTATATTGCCCACGAGTACAATTATGGCAAAATGAATGAATTCAGATTATTTTCATTTATGAGTAGGCTTCTACCTTAGCATTCACAAATTTTAATCCATATCATTTTTCAATAATTTTTCAAAAATTGTTATTAAGACTTTTAGCCAATAGATAATTATGTCATTTTGGTCCAAAATTATGAAAAAACAAATTCAGAAAAATATAATAAAAACAGGCAAAATGTTACAACAAAAGTTATGATGCTTAAAGTGATAACATGAATGTTATGAATTTCAACATACTATTTCGATGTTTGGAGCAATTTCATTGGGTTTTAAGTTCACAAATATGACAGAAAAACATTCTATTGCTATTTTACATGTTCACATAGATTTATTTAAGCAAATTTGAATAAAACGAAAATAGGGAAATTAAAAACATGTGAATAACTAATGCATTTACAGTAGAGTCAGCACAACTAAGATGGCTGCAACTGTTACCATGACTACACTTACCTTCAATCCCATGCTTATCAGATCTTGGATGGCATGTGGAGGGAAGTATTCCAGCCAATGATCTGTGGTTGCAAACTCTTTAATCTCCTCATCTGATAATCCTAATGAGGACATAATCTGCCATTGATATTTAGCGCCTCCAGACTTGGCAACAGCTTTACTCTGAAATCACATAATTCACATTTTTCTGTCTAATAACTTTTTTCCGTTTTCATTCAGACTTCAGATTTTTCAACATGTAATATTATGCATTTGTCTCTAACTTTGTACATTGCCAGTGTGCCTTGCTTTGTGTTTTTACATTTCCTGATTAGTACGTTACACAACATATGCTCATAAGAGAATGGGAAGAGGGGGGGGGCAACTTTAAAACCAGTCGTTCGGGACCCTGTTTGGCTCAGTTTTTTTCACAAGTTAAATAGACACACTCTGGTGGTTGTATCCCCCAGAGATATCTTATAAAAATACAGATCCCAAGATGTTATAAACTATATTTTATTCGACTCCATAAACTGTGAATGGTCGAGGAGCTGCCTACAACACAAAATCAACGGGCATGGTAAATTGTTGAAGCTGGTATAGCAAAATACTCGTTCTGATTCTGCATATTATTCCCAGTTTCCAGTTAAGCTGTCAAACATGAAACTGTGCCGCTGTACCCCGGGCACGCGCCCAGGGACCTGAACGTACAAAATCGGGAAAAATTGGGGGTGGGCGCTTACCCGAGGACCACCCCAAAAAAGAATTTTAAAAAGTTGTTTTTGTGATCGTATGATAAGGTCAAATAAAGGAATGCTTTTGTACACTTTGTACACGTACTTATTTCTTGATTTATGCGAGGTTTCAATAAACGTGAGCACTCGGTCAAGATCTGTGGGAACACTCAGACACGGGGTCGAATTTCAAGAATAAAACTTGTTTTATGTCAGCGAATGAAGTTGTATTACTCACTGAAATTGACTACAAACTATGGTAAATATTGTAATCAATGCACGGTTACATTTTTAGTAACCGTGATCAGTGCAAGTCAAAACGGCCGGGGAAAAACTACCGCTTGTAATCCAAGAAGACGATGACCTCATTAGCATAATTTTGTTCACGCACGTATTGATACATCGCATCGTAATTACTGAAGAATAGCAAACGGGGTTATGAAACAAAAAAAACTTTTATTACTGATGTGAAATGTTTACTAACTATTGTGAATACATAAACATACAAGACAAGACAAAATTATGATGCAACAAGTTGCCATCGTCGGCATGCTTCATTATGGTTATCGTAATGGACTTGAGGTCGGCAAAATGTGTTTTTCTTCAACGACAGAAAAATAATCCACATGACCGTAATGCCATAGCTGTGATGAGGGATGGAAAGAAAGTAGCAATGTCTCAAAAGTGCTAGCTCCCGTTCACAGTCAGCTGGCATCGGTGTCGCTGGGTGTATATGATAGAGGGAAGTTGTGCAACCAAATTTGCCGAGTTCGCAGTTTTTCGCCGATAAAAAAATAACTAAGGCAAAAACTCACGGTTTTTCAGCATTTTTGTAATAAAGACATTATCCTCTATCAATAATCCGCCCCAAATAGAAACATTTCCACTAATTCTTGTGTTTTTTCTATGTTTTTCGAAAAACCTGCGATTAGGCTATGAAAGTAGAACATTCCGGAGGGGGTGAAACGGAAGAGCTAAACTTAACGCATAAAAATAGAACGCGTATTTTGACCTCTACGTGGCCAACCAATGGCTGGACACGGATACGTTTTTGGTCCATCGCCTGGCGATGCTCTAAAAAGTCTTTCAACGAGTTTTTACGTATAAACACAAACAAAACGGCCCTTTTCAGGGCCACCACACACTCCAAA